ACAGATACAGAACGCACGGACGAAACGAACAACATCTACCAAAACACAGGCTGCACGAAGTAGTCACTCCCGCCGCCACCACAGAGAACGTGCCGTAGGTTGTACTGCTGAGTTATCCCCTGTGGGTGTGCTTTGTTCCCGGTCCTGGGTTTGTGGCCTCTCTGGGTGTCCATGGTTTTGTATGTGCTCCAGTCCCCAGCGTGAGAAGTAGGAATAACTGTTGGAAGATGAAAGAGAAAACGATAGGGAATGGGTGGAGGGGGAACGGAATTGAAGATGACGAAGACAAGGATGATGAGACGGAGCGGGAGGAGGAGGAAGAGGAAGGAGCAGCGGGAGAACGGAGGAGCGAAACGGAGTTGGAACGAGAGCGCATTCCTTTCAAACCCTTGGACGGCCCTGTGGAGGGCCTGCCCCTGCTCTTGAGCATGGCTGTGCTGCTTGAGCCTAGGCGCCACTAGAGACAAAGACGGAAGAAAGATGAGGGGGAAGACGACACCACGCTGCAACGATGCGCTTCCGTTCTACCCCAAAGCCATAATGCTCCTTCGCCTCCTCATGATCCTTCTCCTTCGATGGTAAGTCGGTCGAGGCAGGGCCGATCTGCGTCGGGGGGCTGGGGTCGCTTGTAGCTTTCCTCGTCCTCCTCGCGCTCGGGCTTCTCGTTGTTGGGGCTGCGTGCTTGCGATCGGGTGGGAGGGGTGCCCCCCTCCCTAACGTGCCGCCGAAGATCATGCGTGGTGATGGCGCCTGCGGTGTCATTTCCTCGGTGGTTGTCAGGCCGTCGTCCCTCTTGTTGGGCGGCGATGGCGTGTCCAGGATCGCGACTTCTGTGTCTCTCTGTCCCTGGACCGGGGATCGTTGTGCAGGGTCGGTCTCGGTCGTCACGGCGATGCGGTTGTCCTGGCGGTGCTCGCTCATCCTTGCGTCCACGCATCAGGTGTCGCTGACAGCGGGGCGTCGCAGTCTTGCCCCCCAGGTCGTAGATCCAACGGGTTCGTGCCGCGTGTCGCAGTCGTCGACTGGAACTGGTGAAGTAGTACATGCCATTGCTGTTCCGCCGGCAGCTGGTCGCCCGGGCAATCGCCTTGCATCGGGATGGCCACAGGTGTCTTCGTGTTGTCGGCCTCCCTGGCCGCCTCATCGCTCCGTGCCTGAAAAGGTTGCGTAGGGCCAGGAGGCAAACTTGGCGAGACATTGGCCTCACTGGGTGCATGAAGGGATGATCGCCTCGGTAGAGAGAGAGCAGAGTCGAGCTGGTGAAGCAGCCCGACCTGTGGAAGCCGCTGTTGTGCATGAGCGGCGGCTTGCAGGGTGCAGGAGTAGTCCTGGTGGGCCTCTTCAGTGCGACTCTGATGGATGTCGTTCCATTTCCTCCTACACGACGGTCACGTGCTGGTGGGCTTTTCTATGTTTGTGAGAGCCGATCCCTGCTTGTTGGGGAATGAGTTCGAGTTGACCTTCTACCTGAGCTGCGTGTTCCTGCGCCTGGACGTGAAGTTCGCTCACTCGCGTGATCGCCATACATACTTGTTGTTCGTTTTGTTGATCTTGTTCGGCCTCCCTGGCTCCCGCCTGGCCTTCGATATCGGTGACTCTCTGCTAAAAGGTGGCCTCCATACGACTCTCACGGTGGGGTATTTCAAGGTGCGCTTCGAGGGGCAAGTTGTCTGTGCTGTCCCTCTGCTTGCGGGGTTCGGGCTGCTCTTTGAACTGGTTGCGCCTGTGAGCCCCCATGGACGAGGTGTGGCGGGCCTTCATCAAGCTGTATTCGGCGTCCCTTTCAGCAGCTCCCTTCTCCATGGGTTCGATATGGTACTGCGTGGCCTTATGGCTAATCTCGTGGTGCTCGAGCTGGCGCTGTGCATTCTTCAGCTGGTTCTCTTTGTCTGCGATGTATGCCCCCCTCTCTATGATGAAATGTTTTGCTGTGGAGGTCAATCTAGCCTTCGTGTTGTTTTTCATTTCCTTCCCAGCGCCGTGGAGCTTGCTCACACATCGTCCTTGGACGAGTTCATGATGCGCGGCCATCGTGTGGTGGGTAGTCATTGCAGCAACGAGTTCAGTTTGTGTTGGGCTCGTTCTGGGTCGTTGGTGGTGTTGCTCCGCTTCTTGCGCTCGTTCTCGGCCTGGGCTTCGGCGCTTCGAAGGTGCAGTGGTGGTTCGTGGAACTCACCTTCGGCTCTTCCCAGTGCAGTTCCCAGCTCATATTTTGGTGTTGCTGCGGTTGTCGAACTGTGGCCTCCCTCTCGTTAACTTTGACGTCGCGGGCGAGGCGTCGGTTGTCCTCCTCCAGCGCCTCCAGGAGCGCGCCGATGTTTTGGTCTTCTCTTAATTTCTCGACCCTTGACTATCTCCTTGGAGCTGGCGTTGCTGGCCTCCTTGCTTGGCCGCCTGTGGGAGACGGCTTCGCCTCGTCGTCGGCGGACCCAGTGTTGGTGCAATCGTCGTCCTTGCGTTGTTGATGTCCATCCTGATGGCGCGGAGCTTGACGATGTTTCCTTCCAGCGTTTCCAGGTATACCTCCACCTCCTTACTGTGCGCCTTGGCGTGCTCGAGGTGGCCCTCCGTGATATCCTTGGTGCGTTCAGTATCCTTGGCTTGTGTGGGTGAGCGGCATGTTGCTGATGATCTTTGCCATTGTGAGCGCGACGTGGGCCTCGGCGTCAGTGGTCGAAATCCCAGCGGCGCTGCTCTTGGTGTTGGCCACGGCTGACCGTCGTTGCCCCATGACCTTGAACTTCTTCCATTCTTCTTTGAGTTTGGGATCTCTTAGTCTCCCAATCTGGCACTCTGGTGGCGTAGGCCATCCGCATGGACGTGGCATGGTCGGTCGTCTTGCTGATGCGGTCGTTGTGCTCCTGGTTGGCGTCCCGCTGCTTCGCATTGGCGGGAAAGTCCTCCTCCTGTTGGGATTCGTGCTTCGCTTTGCCCTTGCCCTCTTTAGTCGTTGTGTTTGCCCTTCTGGTGGGTGTTCGTCCTCGGTGTAGTCGTCTTGCGGCTTGGGGGAACTGCTCTTCCCCTTGCTGGTGGTGCCCCTGCCCTCGCCGCTGGTGTCCTTGCCCCAGTAAGCGTCGGGGCTTTGAGTTGCCAATTGTGCAATCCATTGGTCGTTCCTCCACCTGTCCGAGCCTGCGCCGATTGCGAGTGTAGTGGGTCGCGTAGGTGGACCTCTGCTCGGCGCGGGGTTGGATGCTGGTCGCCACGGTGCCGCCACTGTTGGAGCTTGGGGTGGATGTCGCGGTGGTCGTTGTGCACAGTGGTGACGCACCAGTAGTTGCTGAGATTGTAGTACCCGGCATGAAATAGTGTGTGGGAGGTGCCTACGGACCCATGACGACCGGATCGGAAAACAAACCGCCTGGCATAGGCGGCTCCGGCGCAAGAGAGCCCAAAGCGGGGCACGATAACACAGTTAAGGTTGTGAGTGTGTGCGTGCTATCTCGGCCGCCCAGCTGAGGGCGACACGCTTGCCGCCGCCGCGATGAAGGTCCTGCACCTCGCGGGAAGCCTCTCCTCCTCCTCCTCCTCCTCCTCCTCCTCCTGCTTCTCCTCCTGCTGCTCCTCCTTTCCTCCTCCTCCTCCTCCTCTTCCTCCTCCTTCTCCTCCTCCTCCTCCTCCTCCT